GCAACAACTTATCCCATCTTTAAAAGAAAGAAAACAAAATCGATAAAATACTCAAAATTAAAAATCTTTAATAATATAAGAGTTAAGTTACTTTGAATAAAATCACAACTACCTACTTTTTAGTAAATTGTTCCTCTGTTAGACTATTTCTTGCTATATAAAAATCTTTCATAAAGTCATTAAATTTAAAACCTAATATATTCTTTAAATGTTTGGGTAAGTTTTGGCTTATGTGCCAGATACAGTGCATATGAAAAGTATTAGGAAATTGAGTTGCGACAGCACCATTGACCACAGAGTCACTGTCTGTTATGAAAACTTTTGGCAAGATACCAGTTAACTCTTTAACATATTTAAAAATCCATTCATATGAAGACTGAATCTTATTATCAACAATCATCTGAGCCACAATTCTTGTCTTCAAATTATTATCAGGCATAACAAAAATTGATAAAGGATGTTTATAACAGTTAGTTTTGCATGTATTATTATGCATGATCACATCGTGATAATGTAGCCACAAAATTTGTTGCTCAGGACTCATCCAAAAAAGATGAGTTAAAGAATAAGTGGCAGGATTAAATTTCATTAAAACCACCCATCTGGGATCTTCAATTTTTCTGTCATGAAGCCTCCTTAATAACATTCTAGCATTTTTCTCACCTGGTGCCAAATCATAACAAAATTTATCAATAGTGTTGTAAAGATCTCATCGAAATATTCTAACTTTGTATTTCTTTCTAATTATTCTATACTGCATAATCACATCCGCCTTAGCTATAACTGTCAAAAAACGAATCTCTTTAATAATATTTTCTGGTAGCTTTCATAATGATGAGTCAAAATAATCTGCTAATGGATGGAGTTCATGACCAACATGTTGATCATTAAAGGTTATAACTTCAAGACAGTATTTGTCCTTTTTAACCCAAATGTTTATTTTCTACAGACATCCTACTCGACAAGAGGGCCTGTTTGTCTCTGGTTTCCACTATAGTGGCACAAATAAGTTCGCTTTAGTATTTCCTGGGTCATTGCATCTACTCTCCTGCCACCACCAATCTGTATTCTGTAACCTTTAGCGGAGGCATATTCCTTCATAAATTTTCTACATGATTCCAGCTTTGGAAGGTCTTACCAACAAAAAGTTTAAGATCATCTTCAATATCACTGAATCTAAAGAAATAGTAAAAATATATATATTACAACAGCAACAGGTAGTAAAATAAAAATATATTATAATGGCAAAAGATTTAAAATGCTTGAACATTGCAGCATTGTGTTACTTACATATCAGTGTCAAAAACATTATCTAAGTTATTATCTGCTGTTAGTTTCTCAAAATCTGTATCATTAAGCTCTTTCATAGTGTGATCAACAATTCTTTACAAAAAAAAAAAAGAAACCAGACCAACATTGTTTTCAGAACTGAAGTGATTTATAGTTACAGTGTTAAGTAATAAAACATTTAAGTTACTATAACTTTCAATCAGACTGAACAGATTCTATTTTTTTTTTGTTTTAGTAAATAAATGCTAGTTCCAATCTCATTCAGCAGTTCTTTTGTTTTGTATTAACCTGGCTTTTTTGAATAATTGACTGCTGTATAATTACAAACATATGATAAATAAAGATCAATAATAAGCCACTCTTAATAACATTTCTGGCCTTACCTTCTTTTACTATTCGAAATGATTTGCCTTTTTTTTTCACTCGAGCTTTACTTTATCAAGTTCTAAAGGTGTTAGATTAAAGTGTATTCCTTCTTTTAGGCTTGACATGTTATCTTTATATTACAGTATTAAGTATGTAAAACTATTAAACGATGTTGCAAAAATATGTATACATAGTGTTAAATATGTAAAAACTGTTAAACAACATTGCAAAAACATGTATAGTACAAAAAAGCAGCCAATCAAAAAATGTAATTTTAAAGCCTCACATCAAATGTAAAATTTAATGTGTGTTAAAAAAAAAAAGAAACAAATATCTAAATTACTTGTAATACAAACTAAACAGAAATGTAATTTTCTGATCTCTACCCTAAAATCATAACTAAATTTTTTATTTTTTTCAGGTGAGAAAGAGGAACTCAAAGTAGAACTAAATAAAGCTATTCATTATTCAACCTAATGCCTAATGTTAGACTCAAATATTATTTATGGTCGAAATTTAGCACTAAAAGTAGAACTAAATAGGCAAATTTCAAGATTTGGTATAATGTAATACGATCAGGAAGATTCATATGTTTACTCTGCCAAAAATCATCCAAAACTCAAAAACAAGCATAAGAAACCATCTTTTATACTTTAACAAAAAGTTTTTGTTGAACAATTTTACTACCACAACTATCCTCCTACTCTGACCCTAACCCTACTGAATTTTAAGAATTTTGTCTGTGCTGCAAACCTGGTATACATTTTGAGTGCAATCTGGTTTAGTAGCACAACCAGTTTGTACATATGCATGCATATTTAACACAATGAAGATAACAAATTGCTTGACACCTTTGACATAAATATAGCAAATTCTAAAAACATATATGTATAAAAAGTATTATTAACGAAAATTCTACTATGTATACACTTAGAAAATGTGTACCAGGTTTGTGGTGCAGACAAAATTCTTAAAATTTGGTAGGATTAGGGTCAGGGTAGAAGGATAGTTGTAGTAGTAAAAGTTTAATAAAAACCTTTTGTTAAAGTTTGAGTTTTGGATGATTTTTGGCAGAGTGAACATATGAATCTTCTTGATCGTATTACATTATACTAAATTTTGAAATTTGATTTATGGTTCAGAAGCAATCTGTATATATTTTCCAAGTGCAATTAGATTTATTATAATTTTTATATATACTACATAATAATATATGCTTAAAAATTATTGGTTAATTATAAAAGATCACTATAGTGACGGGTTGCTATATATAATTTTTCTTTTTTTTATTATAATTTTTTTTTATATAATAATCATAGCTGAATTTTGCAGATTTATACATTAATATTATACCAAGATACTTGTATAGTAGGACAAAAAAATACTCAATTATAATTGGTTAATTTAGAAATATATCAAAAAATTTTAATTTTTTATTTTTTTTAAAAAAATTGACCAACTTTGAGATTTTTTTAAATAATATGTAATCAAAAATTAATTTAATATTTTTTATAAATATATTTTATAAATCTTCAAATATTAAATATATTTATTTAATTACAAGTTAATATGTAAAATTTTATATAATTATATTTTAATTCAAATATATAAGTTGGTATATTATGCTTAATGAGATAACTAATATTTAATATAATATATAGTTTAAATTGTTGAACAATGCCACCTTATATGTTTTTTTTAATATTAATGATAAGGTCATGCCTTTATTTTTATTAAAGCTTAGTTAAACTTTTTACAAATAAAATATACAAAAAAAATTTATATTTGAATTCTATATTTATAAGATATTAAAATTAAAGACTCAAACAAATTATTTGCAATCTAAACCTATTAGAGTAGACAAAACTTACCTAGATTTCTGAATTTGTAATTATAATAAGAGGGTTTATTTGATATTTGATCTATTTATAATATCATGTTTCAATTTTAAAACTAGCAATTAAATATAATGCATGTTGTATTAGTAAGTTTTAAGAAATATAAGATGTTAAAATTGGTTAAAATTGTCTGCTAGATTGAGGCCTAAAAGCATAGTATGGTGTTCAGATTTGGATATAAATTTGTTGGTTAAAATAAAGCAAAAATTTAATTAAAAGTATAGTAACAGTTTTAGTAAATAGAGTAATAATATCTTTAATTAAATCAATTAATTTATAAGGAATTAGATCATACAGTGCTGATATTAGAGAGAATGAATTTGATATATTGTAATTATGCATACAATTAAGATTTTTAATTTGGTTATGCAGATTGGATATAGTTCTTGGTGATGTATCAAGAGTAGATATATTAAGAACATGTTTAAGTAAATTATTAATAAAATTATTAAGAAAATATAAGGATGGACAAGTAGTTCAGTAAAGTAAAATACTAATTTGGTTATATTAATAACAGATAGAAAATTAAATATAGTTATATTTATATAGATTATATGAAGTTGGAAGATCATCTATAAGAATTTTTATATGGAAGGACTTAAGCTAAGATGTTTAAAAGCTATAAAAATAGATTGTTATTTTTTGATTATTATTAATATAGAGCTAGATAGCTTTTTAATTAGTTTGAGTTGCAATTTGTAACCATTTTTGGAAGTGATATTGAGATGAATATAATGCATAGATATGGACATGCCAAATTGCATGAATGCAATAATGAATAGGTAGTTCAATAGGATAGTTATTAAGTTGAAATGTATAGTTAGAATTATAATAATTTTGCAAATTAAATAGTAGGTATAAAAAATTAAAATGATTGCAAGCAAGATTGTCAGCAAGGTTATTAAATTTATTATCCTAGTATGCAACTACTTTATACAAAATAAGTTATATGTTGTAAGAGTTTGTAAAGTTAATTAAAATATACTAGAGTAATAATATAAGATATTAATAAATAGTAATTTGATTGATGTTAAATTGGTACTGTTGTATTTGGATATAGCAAATTGTGAATTATAGGTAATATCGTCATTTCTGATACATAAAAAGCTTATTAATAATATTAAATCTAATGACTGTTATTTTAAACTATACTTTT